GTCAACTGGAAGCCTCCCTGAGTTCCCTGCCTGCGCTGACTGGCTCTTCATTGATGTAATAGGAGTTCAGACGCCTTTTTCAGATGGAAAGTCTTACAGTGCAGACACTTAAACTTAGAGAAGTCAAACTGCACTCCCAGATTTCATGTTGTGGGATGCACTTGCATTTAAACAGTATGAAATGTACCATGGATGTTTGCTCTCAGTTTCCTTTGGCAAGTGAAGGGAAAAGCACTTTCTCTGCCCCAGAGTGCCATTCTAAGACAAAGTACATTCAAGACAATGATACAAAAAAAAAAAAATATTGTGGAACATTGAAGTACCTCTTTATAGATAGAGGAAAATATTTTAGGAACTTGTTGAAATTTCTAGTATATTTTCTTAGACTTTGCATGTTAAATAAAAGCTTATATAATGCAGATTTGGATGAACACTATTTGTTACCATTGACTGATTTTTACATTAAAAGCCTATTCTTAGGCAGCTACCATAGAACCTAATTATCATTGTGTTTTTTCTTGTCACAAGACAAAGCTAGCAGTCTAGCAAATTTCATTGCATGCTTGGAAGTACTTTTAGTATAATATCCTGTGTTAGTGCTGGTTAAGTCCTTATTTTTATGCTTTAGCACATGCTCTTGAAAAAACATACTGAAGAGAGAGCATTTTTTTGTCTGTTGCTTTTTGTCTAATGCCAAGAAGGAGACACCAAGGTTTAGCATCTAAGGTTTTAAGTTTTAAGGTCTAACCCTGTTAGAAATTGAGTGCTGTTTCACCCCTGAAACTGTTCTTATAATCCAAAATACAAGTGTATTATTCAAATGGTTTGCTGAAGTGAATGTTTATTGAAAGTCTGAAAATCTTGCTAGTTTAAAAGAAACAGTAAGCAAAATATACCTATTCTGACCTCCATAACAACTGAGTAGGTGGTTAAAAATTTAAGTAATTTATAACACAAAAATGTTTATCTTACTTCCTTGTGTCTTTCTTTTGGTGGTCTATCAATTAAAAAAAACAACAGTCTTTCAGTCAACTTTCACACTTATTATGCTGATTCCCTAGGACAGCTGGTATCAAGCAAAAGAAACAGCCTATGGCCAATGGTATGCAAAGACCCCTGTATGCCAGTCCTTTATACTCTGTGAATAATTTTGAAGATGAAGCTGTGAAGGACCTCATCACCATATCAAAGATGTCAATCAAAGATTCTTCAGAATTTCAGTGATGCAATGTTGACTAAGAAATATCATTTGGGTGAGGAAAAAGGTGTCTGGATAATTTTTTATCAGCATGTCTTTTGCATTCTTGCCCATCTCTCTACTCAGGGTTCTCTCTGCCCTTTTATAATCTCTGGACAAATTCCCAATTTCCCCTCAATAAAACCAAAGATTTTAGGGGCCTCTTTGATCTTTCCTGCGCCTGGCTGAGCATAAAAGAGCAAAGGTTTTGGATCCTGATTTGCATGTCAGCTATTCCAGCAGGACATATCAGGCAATATCAAGCTCACTCTGCCTTTGAAGCAACAGGATTTGAATTTTTTTTTTTTTTCATAGTTTAAATAGATATGAACTGACAGACTAAAGTCTATCTGTCCCAGCAGGGCAATGGTTAGGATATTAACACATTAGACCTCCTCTTCTTCGTGCTTGGAGTGTCTGGCCTGATTGGCTTTAAGAATTTCTCACAGTGGGGCCTTACCTGAATTGGCATGCAGAAGTGTGCCTGACTTTCTTCTGTGTTATGCTGGAGCTTGACTAGGAATAGCAGTTCCTGGTACTGCTTCTTCAGCAACAAGCAGAACAAGCAGAAATTTCCAAACTGAACTCAGTGATCTAGTTTTAGTCAAACATGGTTGAAATCAAGCCATATACACAACCAAAATCTGTGGATTTGGTACGAGACACTATAAATTAAGTTACCATGAAGGAAATGGTCCCCTAATAATCATAGAATCACTTAGGTTGGAAAAGACCTTTAAGACCATCCAGTCCAACCATCAGACTAACAGTGCCAATTCCACCACTAAACCATGTGTGTAAGTGCTTTATCTGCACATCTTTATATCTTTCCCAGGACGGTGACTCCACCACTTCCCTGGGCAGCCTATTCCAGTACTTGCCAACCCTTTTGACGAAGAAATTTTTCTTAATATCCAATCTAAACTTTTCCTGGTGGAACTTTAAGCCATTTCCTCTTGTCCTATTTCTTGTTTCTTGGGAGAAGAAGCCAACAACCACCACACTACAACCTTCTTTAGCTAGCTGTAGAGAGCAGTAAGGTCTCCCCTGGGCCTCCTTTTCTTCAGGCCAAACGACCCCAGTTCCCTCAGCCATTCCTCATAGGACTTGTGCTCTAGACCCTCCACCAGCTTTGTTGCTTTTCTTTGGACCCACTCCAGCACCTCAATGTCTTTCTTGTAGTGAGGGCCCAGAACTGAACACAGGATACAAGGTGCAGCCTCACCGAGTATAGGAGGAGTGATCACTGCCCTGGTCCTGCTGGCTACGCCATTTCTGATACAAGCGAGGATGCTACTGGCCTTCTGGGCTACCTGGGCACACTGCTGGATCATGTTCAGATTGCTGTTGACCAACACCCCTAGAACTTTTTCTGCTGAGCAGCTTTCCAGCCACTCTTCCCCAAGCCTACAGCATTGCACGGAGTTGTTGTGACCTGTGTGCAGGATGTGGCACTTTGCCTTGTTGAATCTCATGCAGCTGGCCTTGGCCCATCGATCCAGCCCCTATCCAGGTCCCCATGCAGAGCCTCCTTATCCTTCAGCAGATCAACACTCCTAGCCAGGTTGGTGTTGTCTGCAAATTTACTGGTGGTGCACTCGATCCCGTCATCCAGATCATTGATACAGATATTAAACAGAACTGGCCCCAAGTACAAAGAGCCCTGGGGATCAACTGGATTTAACTCCATTCAGCACAACTCTTTTGAGGCACCGGCCAGCCAGCTTTTAACTTGGTTTTTAATCCTTTCTTGAACCTTAATATCTAAAGTATCAGAAAATACAGAATATGTGAAACTTGCAACTATATACTTAGCCTGAAATCTGTAGAAACACTAGCAGCAAAACTGCATGCCAAAACAATGGAATCACTGATAAACAAACATAAGATAAGGTAAGAAAAGAATTAGGCTTGTTTTCTAAAGTTGCACAGAAAGGAAAAGACCTTTCCTTTACATTTATACATTTATATACATTTATATACATATATACATTTATACATTTGCTATGTTCTTATGTAGAACAATTACTTTTAAAAATTATTTCTTCTGTAAAATAACTGCTTTTATAATTGTGTTCTATAATCTCTAAAATCTTCGCTGAGCCAGAGATTTTCATAAAGGATCTCAAATTGGATGGCAGTCAAAAACTGACCATAATGAGTTCGGAGGGAGAAAAAAACATACATATTTCTGATCCTCTTGTCTTCTTCAGAAAGACTAACCACCTCCACTCTTTAGAGAAGTTACTTTCAGCATGCTATGTATCTAGCTCTAATCACTGGCAAAACCTTGGTAGCATCACATATGGAAGCACGGTAAAAGCTTGTAAAAGCAAGGGAATTTTGTTTGTTTCCTAACTCTATGCTATAATATTCTTATTTGACAGCCAGTATGCTATTTACTGCTTAGCATTACACCTGTTTCTTCTAAACAGGACTAGCATATTGATTCTTGACAAAGCACAGTAGCATTTTCCAGTGATCTTTCTGTACCAGCAACATCATGCAGGATTAATAACATCCATTTGTATTCATAGAATATTATTATAGAACTGATTCTTTCCCTTTTAATTGGCCCCAGTTTATAAATGCATTTTTAATCTGCATCTGGCCATCTTGTTGTATCATCACAACCTTAGCATCACATTTTCTAGCATACAGTATCAATCCTAATGGCATCCTATAAATCATGTTAGCACAAATAACATTTTTTTTTCCAGGGACTGTAGGGCCTACTAGATGCCAGGAGACTGTTTTTGCCTTCTTAGTGTTTCCTTCCATCAGAGATTTACTTTCAGTGATTCTGTAAATCTGGCCAAGTCCTTTAAAGTTGCACTGAGTTTGTATTCCTGTCTCTGTAACGCTTCTCAGAGCTGTGATCTCAAACTAAGACCATCCTAGAAAGTCACTCCATTCCTTTTGTCTACCATGGAGACAGATTTTTATTTATAATCCTTTTTCACAAATAGGACCAAAATGGTCCTTTGAATTATTTCTGGAGTCTCCTTTCTTGTTACATAACAATTCAAATTATTTTGCTGATACAAAAGATGGCTTTTACTGGACAGATTTAGAGAAGTCAAGCCATTTTGATATATCTGATGGTTCCTACTTCCCCATCCCCTCCCACTTCAGTTTACCACTGTAGATCAAGACAGACTAAGACTTCACCAGTTGAGGAGAAGCTACAAAATTATGTAGCACAGTATTTAACATATTCTGTGGCTGCTACAGCTGGAGTCACCTACCTCCCCTTTCTCAGGTTGGTGCTGAATCCTGCCATGAAACAAACTATAAGAAAAGTAATCTGAATATGATTGACATTAAATTATTATATTGTTGACACCTATCAGAAACAATACATCTCCAATAGTTACAACTACAACATGCATGAGAAGAGTGCTATTATGGTGCTTTACAGCTATTTGCTCTTACCATTAAACCCACACTGAAGTCTGCAGGGACACACCTCCCTGTTTGCAATGAAGTGCTGTGCAATTTAAGGCTGTTTTGATTTTAAGATGTAAATGTCAAGGATACAAAAACTCAAGCATGATAAATCAGTTGGCGCATATGGAGATGTATGAACAATCCACTCAGATCTGAGGGGAAGCCATGCCAAATTTTCTAGCTTTAATAAAAAGCCCTGACAGCCTATCAATACAGGAAGAATAACATGCAAGCTCATTGAAAAAGGAAAGGATATTTCCTCCAAAAGCACTTTTTTTTACCTTAGTCATGGAGCAAAGTTCATTGTCTTTACCTTTTCCTGGTAAACTTAGCAGGCTACATAAAAAACAGATAATATGTTAGGTTTTGTCAGCAGTGGCTGGAACACCTAGAAACTGTATACAGTGCAGGATGCTATGCAGAACCATATCACAAAAGGAGGAAAATTGCTGGAAAAAAAAGGAAGCACAGTTATGCTTTACTCAGTGAAAACAATACTTAAGTAAAAGCAGCAATAAGTACTATCTATTTGAAGTAATAATACTTGTGTATTTGGAATAAGGGTTGTAGAAGTAGGGTGGTCTCATGCTATCTGCTCTTTGCTCTTCTTTGTCCACTAACATAAAATAAAACCCCAGGTTTTTAAAATTATGCTTTCAATGTAAAATAAAATATATCTTATAAAAAAAATCACATCAGAGTACTTCACTGATTCTTGTTGAAGTCCAATTACCTGTTTACTTTCTGTATTAACACAGCTAAATATGTCCTACTGATACCAGCAGATGCACAGCCAGGAGATAAAATTTTGTTTGTTTGCTTTTTAGAATTTTCTGAGTGTAACATAGTATTCCCACAGCTTTCTTTTGCCAGCTGAGTATCAGTCTGAATAGAAAGTACTATGACTTAACAAATGCTTCTATTATCCAGAGTTTCAGTGCCATTAAGGGCTTGTCTAAAGACTACAGAGCTGTAATGGGGCCATCCAAATTCTCTTTATGCTCACTAGCTTGAGTACTGGCAACAGTCTAGTCATGGAATTCAGACAACATATGCTGCTTCTTGACTAAAATTAGCTTTTATGTCCCACAACCCTAATACTTAAGGGATATGTAATACAATGTAGTAATACAGTTTCAGCTACTGTATTATTTTTTAGGAGCAAGTTCTTCTTTGTGAATAGTGTAATGTATAGGTATATGCATTGCATCATTCTGTATATATGCTATATGTATATATATGTAATGCATCAGCCACTGCATTATGCATTATTAGAAAGATGCCACGATTTTGCATCCCCATATGCGTGTATATGCAGTGACTAGTACTAATCAAAATGTTAAACAGAAGAGAGGAGTTTGTATGCATGTGGCTGTGTACACATTTATAAATAATTAGGTCAGGAATTAATTGATAAAATAAAGAGGTATCAAATACCCATACCTCCTTTGTTCCCTCTCCTCCCTTCCCCTCATCTCTCTTCTCTCTGACTAGCAGTTACTCAAGTCTTGGTCAAATTTTTTCGTAAGGCTTTGCTTCTGTCTCTGCCATCTACGATCCTTCATCCTCAAAGCAGCTCCTTGCCTTTCAGATTGATTGTGTGCTGAACATTAAGAGCAATTTCAGTTACACCCATGCCAGCCCACTGACATCAATGGGGCTACTCAGTAGCAGGCAAAGATAGGAAGGGAGCCTAAGGGCTAAGAATTTCAAGGAAGGAATCCCTGACTCATGACCTTAAAGTATGGAAGCCTTCATAAATCACTTCCTGTGCTACTGCATTCTTCCCTTAATATCTTGCCTTTGATGAGTAGCTGGAACCACCTCTTGTTTCCAAAAGGGGGAGGAAGGGCATTGGAGAGAAGAATGGAACAAGCTGACATTTCCCTTACTCCCAGTATGGAGTATGCTTTACTAAGCAGCATGGAAAACGAAGGCAAAAATCTGGAATTCCTTTTTTGCTCATGTACTTCTCAGTACACAGGAGACAAAGTGGTGGCTAATTGATAGAATTCAACAGTAGTATGAAAACATGAACAAACCCTCCTTCATTCCTTCACCTATTTATTAAACAATACCCATTATATGACTCATTCTGCCAGGATGATTACTTCTAGAAATGTTACACATGCACATAGACTTCCCATCTCAGATGTGTCAGGGCAGGCCTGTGTGATTTAGGACAGCACTCATACTTGACTTGGCTTCCAATCACAGCTGTATCTCCATGTATAGAAAAATTCAGCTACACTCACCTTTCTGGGGAAACACTGAAGATCGTTGGTAATGATGGTCTAATTTGAGGCAGGAAACTGCCAGTAAACAATTATTTTATGAAGCAAAAGAAAGAGGCATACTCAAGAAGTAAGATAGTTTTTATTCTCTCATTTCACTTGGGGATGTTCAAGCACTAGTGAAGGATATAAATCATGCACTTGTCACACTACAGCCCTTCCTTTCTAGGACCTTTCTAGCACTAGCCAGCTTTGGAGAAGCAGTAGCATCAAAGTGAGGCTAAGCAACAGATTTTAAGCCTTGACTGTCCTATAATCAGTCAACACTGAATGGCTGCTGCAGGACTGTCCTAGTACACGTGTCTATTTATAGGGCACCAAATACTGTAGGTGGCACTTAATCATAGTATTTAGCCTATCACCAGATATGTCCCTCTTAAATGGTTTCTGGTAGTATTATCCACCTCCACTGAGTAGGTTCACTACTACCAAGCATCAGTTCCCCTAGAATAATCCCCAGCTAAAGATATTTTATTCTGTCCCACATTTCTGGACAATAGAAGGTCAAATCAGCAGCCATTGCCTCGGTCCAGCAGAGACTTTCACCAGCTGACAGGCTGGTAACTGATTTCCCTATCCAGGACAGTGTACTCCAGCAAAGAGATGTCTCAGGTTAAGACCAGTAAACACAAATTCAGGAAAAGCTTTGGTTTGCCTAACCAGAACAGACGCCCAGTTAAATGGAAACATGAGCTTCCTCAGAACAAGTCATCTTAGTCTACACAGACTTAACATCTCAGAAGAAACTGGTGCTTTGCAAATCACAGCCTCTTGATAAAATCTGTCCCTTGCCAGGCTTTTCGTACTGTGTAGATGTTGTTGACTAGCTCTCTTTCCAACTCAGCTGTAAGTCTAGTGAGTTTCCTGCTTTCAGAAATGACAGCTTTGAGAAGTATCATGACAAGGCATGAATATTGCCACCACAGTTTATTAATCTTTTTCTAATTAGCATGAAATCCATACACCCATTACATGAAATAAAGACATGGAAAAAAAACCAAACATCCAGTACAACGAAAGCACACATACTGTGTGGGAGCAAGCTGCTTTCATGATCATACAACTCTACCTCTGCACTATCAGCAAGCTACACAAATTTCCTTTTGCTTATAAAATTTGTGAAAAGACCACAAGATCTCTGTTGCTTCCTAGACTTGCCAATTAATACTTCTTCCCACAGAGAATACCAGCCTCCATACCAGCTTGGCTCCCTTTCCTGCTCCCCTCCATGGGATTTAAATGAGAGTAATGTTATAGGAAAACATGGAATTCAAACTTCTGCAATCATACATAATATAGAGATATTTTACAAGTCAATAGGCCATACTCTGGAGAGGAAAAATAAGACAATGAAAATTCTAACTTTTTTTTTTTTTTTGGCTTTTTATGTAACTCTAGTTTTTATTTTATAAGCCCTTTTGGAAGGATGTGCATCCCTGTCAGGAGGAAACATTCTTCATAGAATTGTTGCCTAGTTAACTAAATCAATTTCTAGTAACATACTAATGAGAAGTTGGAACAAACTTTTAACAGTAACTTTACTGAAATACAAACTCCTGCAGGAGACAAAAAAAAAAAGGCAAAAAGCAACGGCTGCGGCCCTTACACATTTCACTGCAAGTGACATGATAGAATTGAACGTTGTCATGGTTGAAAGCTTCAAAGATCTCATACACTTCATTGAGTCTGCCTACAAAACACTAAGTCTCACCATGTTCCCTCACAGCAAGATTCCCAGTCCACACAATGCTCATCATGCCAAACCTCTGCAGTGCTCAAGAAGATGAGCCAGACATAGCTGCAGTAAGGGAAAACAGCAGCATCTTAAAGAACCACTTCTCAGTTGAATAAGCTGTGGCCATAGGATCGGGCTTTTATTACTTGCTACATGCAGATGTAAAAGCCATTTATAGAGCATTAAAATTGAAAACATCACCAAAAATTATTTTCAAAACATTTCTTGGAATACTGGTATTTTTTCTATTTCAAGAGAAAATGCTGATGTCATTTGGATAAAAGAAATGAATGAAGTGTGATCTGTGTCACCTGAGATTTACCTGCGGGGGGGGGGGGGGGGGGCATCAGGAGGGCTGGAGGGGTGAAGGACCTCCTCCCAATACCCTCCTCCCACCACCCCACTGTGTCCACTCCCAGCGCACTGAGAATGCTGCTTCTAAGAATAACCAGGAGGAAGGGTAAGTGCAGAACAATGCAAAGGTACACAGCACACAGGCTGTCCTCTGTGGGACAAGTCAGTCTGCCCTAGACTGCAATGTTGTCTCTTTCTTAGGAATTTGTCCTCCAACTGGTTGTAACTTTCAAACTGGAAAATCTGATGACTATCACTGCATCATTTTTATCTAAGCGAAAGGTTCATTTTTGTAGTGTTTAATATTTCTGGTACTTTATGTATTGATTTGTAGCTACTCATGCTTCCAAAATAAACAGTTATAAAACAAATTGAACACAGTCAGGAGAAAAAGCAGATATTGAGAAATCTAAACCACAGCTTTTTTGAAGCCCAGAATGCTGATACTGCTATATTTAGTGCCTTATTTGGTGGGAAAGAACAAACCACTAAAAGATTTCTTCCAGCTTTGATTGAATGCTACATTAGAACAAAAGTAATTTTTCAGATGACATTAAAGTAGCCAGAAAGTGATATCCTTTTTATTTACCATCCTTTTGGAGAGTCAGCTGCTTGCTTTTATTGCTGGCAAATATTGTCCAAAAAGTATTACCTAACTTGGAAGTATGTTATGATGAATACTAGTTGTACTAACTAGGCCATGTGGAATATGACAGGAATTTTCGTGTGCTGTTTAAAAAAGTAATCTCTTTACTCCGGGGGGGGGGGGGGGGGGGAGGGGATGCAGCCCTCAGGCATGCAATTTATTTGGAATTTAACATTTTCATAGTGTAGAACTATTACACAGTTAAGATAGCTGATCAGAAAAATGAAAAAGGTGAAAAAAAATGTATGTAAAGGTAGAAATCAGACCTGTGAAGTGCTATCAAAAATAAAGTAGCAAAATAATATTCTGTTCCTTTAAGATACCAAAAATAACCCACAATACTTTCCTCATCTAGATCCTGAAACCGCACTCAGCTCTACAGTCACAGGAGTCTGACTGCAGGGAGTTCATTGCTGGACT